AACGTTAAAATTATTTGAAATTTGATAAATTAAATATAAAAATCATTGTTTTAGTGTTTTTATATAAAAAATCATTTAATTTATTTAATATGTTTTATAAAACTTTAAATTAACAACTAATTCTATTATTTAATTTTTATATTTAAAATGTTATTTTTAATATCTAAATATTTGAATTTATAAAATACACTTAATTTATAACAATTTAATATTTTGATAAACTGTTTTAAGTTATTCTTTTGATATTAATTTATAAAAAACATTATTTTAATAATTTAATATGTTTTTAATTAAAGTTGAAAAGATTTTTTATAAAAATCAACAAATCAAATATAAATGATTAATATTACTTCTTGTAGTTTTTAAAGAAGTAAAATAATGTAATTAATAATAAATTAGTATAATAAAGAAATTAAGTAGTTTAAAAGAGAAAATTTAATACTATAATTTTTATTTAATAATTTATTAAAGTTTATATTCTTTATATTTTATTTAAAATAATTGAAAATTATAGTTTTTAATAATTTAAAGTATAAAAATTTATACTTTTTAAAAAACTTATGACTATATTATTAATATAATTTAACTATTAGATGTGTTATAATTTATTATTAACAAAATGTTTAAATAAAATATATTAAAAAAAATTGTTGATCATATATTTGTTATTTTAAATTATTTTATAAATAAAAACAGTGAATGTTTTAATATTCTTTGTTTATAAGAAATAACATATTCTTAATCAAATGATATTAATCAACTTTTAAAACATCATTAAAATAAATATAATGTTAAAATAAATATGTTATAAATTAATTAATTGTTCTTCAGTTAGTCAGTATTTAAACTTAATTACTTAATGCTGACCTACGCAGAACTCTTTTGTTAAACATAAAACATATTTTATTGATTTTGCTTTTTATATATAAACAATATAAAATTTTTATGAAATTGTAAAACGGGTATGTACATTATTTTAATAAATTAATTTTGGAAGTTCGAACTAAAAAAAGTCTTTTTTTAAAATAACAAATAAAA